GACAACCCGAAGAATGGGACAGACCCAATGACAACCCGGAAGAATGGGGCAGAGAACCAATGACAACCCGGAAGAATGGGACAGACCAATGACAACCCGGAAGAATGGACAGACCCATGACAACCCGGAAGAACGGGACAGACCCCAATGAACAACCGGAATGAATGGGACAGAAAAAACAAGCAAGCAAAAGCAGTCATAAGCCTGTTAGTGGACGGGGACGATCAACTCATTCATATAAGGAAAGAAAGCACAGCTAAAGGTACAGTTGCAAGAAAAAGTATGTGAACCCTTGGGATTACGTGGAGTTTTGCATGAATTGGGCATAAAATGTGCTCTGAATGTTATCTAAGTCACAACAATAGAAGAACACAGTCTGCTGAACATAATACTACACAAACATTAGATGTTGCCATGGTTTTTTTAATTGCACATAACATGTAAACATTCACAGTGCAGGAGGGAAAAAGTATGTGAGGCCCTAGCTTAATGACTTCTCCCCAGAGCTAATTGGAGCCAGGAGTGAGCCAACCTTGACTCCAATCAGTGTGATGATATTGGATGTGTTGCTGACAGCTGCCCTGCCCTTAAAAACACAGACCACCTGTTTTGGGTTTACTGGTTTCAAGAAGCACTGTCTGATGTGAACCATGTCTCGCAGAAAAGAGCTCTCAGAAGACCTACGATCAAGAATTGTTGACTTGCATGAAGCTGGAAAGGGTTACAAAAGTATCTCCAAAAGCCTTGATGTTCATGTGTCCACGGTAAGACAGACTGTCTACAAATGGAGAAAGTTTAGCACTGTTGCTACTCTCCCTAGGCGTGGTTCGTCCTGTAAAAATGACTGCAAGAGCACAGCGCAGAATGCTGCATGAGGTAAAGAAGAATCCCAGAGTGTCAGCTAAAGACCTAGCAGAAATCTCTGGCACATGCTAACATTTTTGTTGACACATCTACAATAAGGAAAACATTAAACAAGAATGGAGTACATGGGAGGGACACCACGGAGGAAGCCATTGCTGTCCAAAAAGAATATTGCAGCACGTTTGAAGTTTGCAAAAGAGCACCTGGATGTTCCACAGCACTACTGGCAAAATATACTGTAAACAGATGAAACCAAGATTGAGTTGTTTGGGAAGAACACACAACACTATGTGTGGAGAAAAAAAAGGCACAGCACACCAACATCAAAACCTCATCCCCACTGTGAAACATGGCGGAGGGAGCATCATGGTTTGGGGCTGCTTTGCTGCCTCAGGGCCTGGACGGATTGTTGTCATTGATGGGAAAATGAATTCCAGAGTTTACCAAGACATTTTGCAGGAAAACATTACGACCATCTGTCCACCAACTGAAGCTCCGCAGAGGATGGGTGATGCAACAGGACAATGACCCAAAGCATACAAGTAATTCAACAAAACAATGGCTGCAACAGCACAGAATACGCCTTCTGGAGTGGCCCAGTCAGAGTCCTGACCTCAACCCGATTGAAATGCTGTGGCATGACCTTAAGAGAGCGATTCACACCAGACATCCCAAGAATATTGCTACACTGAAACAGTTTTTGTGAAGAGGAGTGGTCCAAAATGACTCCAGATCGTTGTGCAGGTGTCTGATCTGCAACTACAGGAAACGTTTTGGTTGAGGTTATTGCTGCCAAAGGAGGGTCAACCAATTATTAAGTCCAAAGGTTCACATACTTTTTCCTCCCTACACTGTGAATGTTTACATGTTATGTGCAATTAAACCATGGTAACATCTAATGTTTGTGTAGTATTATGTTCAGCAGACTGTGTTCTTCTATTGTTGTGACTTAGATGACGTTCAGAGCACATTTTATGCCCAATTCATGCAAAACTCCACGTAATCCCCAGGGGTTCACATACTTTTTCTTGCAACTGTATGTGGACTGCATTACAAAACACGGCGACATGAACGTGCAAACCTAAACAGTAAACTATATCTGCTACGCAAACTGGTATAAGATGAGGCTGGAAAAAAGGGCAGGAAATGGGTGAACATGTAAATGCTATGCTAGAAATTGTGGACCAGCTGGGTGCAATAGGTGAAGAATTAAAAAGCAACCATGTTGTGTCAATACTTCTGTGCAGCCTTCCAGAATCATACAGTGCCCTTATAAATGCTCTAGAAACTAGACCGGAAAACTGAACTGACACTAGAATATGTTAAGGAAAATTAATTGATGAATACAGCAGAAGAAAGGAAAATTTTGCATTCTGAAGAGAACGAGAGACCAGAGGCAGCTCTGAAGGTGCATGAAGGCATAAGACAAAGCAAAGAAAAGCAGGGTATGTTTTCGCTGCAAAAAGGCCGGTCACCTGAAAAAGAAACTGTTCAATCTGGAAAGCTGAGCAGCAAAAGCAGGAGCTACCCACAAGAGAGAGAGCTAAAGCGGTCATGAAAGAAAATGAAAGTGCATCATGGAGTGGTACTTTTTAAAGTGACTCAGAATAGTATACCTCACATGGATGGTACATTGATTCAGGGGCAACAAGTCACATGACAAGCGACAAGACATTCTTCACAGATTTTAGTGTAAAAGATAAAGTCTTCCTAGCAAATGGGAAAAGTATTACAGCGGAAGGTAAAGGTCAGGGATTTCTGAACTGCAAAACGCATCAGGGGGCAAGCAGAGCATCCTTGTAAAGAATGTTCTATATGTTCCAAGGCTAGAAGGAAGCTCCTATCAGTTAGAACCCTTGCAAGCAATGGACTCACTGTCCAGTTCAGAGGTGATGAATGCACAATTCAAAATGGAAAGCAAATTCTAGCAAGAGGAAGGTTACATGAACATCTGTACAAAATCATCACTGAAAGCGAGAAGGCTAATGCGGCAACTCATAACCCACATGACAAGTGCATCCACGTGTGGCATAGAAGATTGGGGCATCGAAACCCAGAAGCTATAAAGGACTTTGCAAAGAGAGGTCTATCAGAAGACATGAATATATTGCCTTGCCCACACACTCAGCAAGTGCACGTGTTGCATCAAAGCAAAGGCCACCCGAACCCTCTTCCACAGACCAGTCAGAGTAAAAACCATTAAACCCATGGAACTGATACACAGTGATGTGTGTGCGGACCAATGAAAACCATCACATTTGGGCGGGAACAGATATTTACTGACTTTCATCGGTGATTATTCCAGGTACACAATAACGTATCTAATGAAGCACAAAAGTGAGACATTAGAAAAGCTTCAAGAGTTTGTAGCTATGACAAGCAACAAGTTTCAAAGGAAACCTGGAACAATACGCACTGACAATGGAGGGGAATATGTGAATAAAGAGATGGAAATCATACCTAAAGAAACAAGGTATTATACACCAAACAATCGTACCATACACTCCTGAGCAAAACGGTGTATTGTAAGCGGAAAGAAAGAATCGCACTCTTGTAGAAATGACAAGATGTATGATTACGGACGCCTGCCTTACCTAACAAATACTGGGGAGAAAGCAATAATGACTGCAACATACCTACAAAACAGGCTCCCATCAAAAGCTATTGAGAGTACACCATATGAAATGTGGAATGGATCAAAACCTAACGTAGGACACATCAGAGTGTTCGGCGGTGGTAAAGCACATATGCCCACATTCCAAGCCAGAAACGCTCCAAGTTGGAGAACAAAGCCATAGAAGGCATTCTGGTGGTGTGAGGGGACCGCCGAGCGGCACCACCAGCACTCCACTGGTCAGGCGTGCCCAGAGCGCGGAGTCTAAGCCCCAGGGTACTTGTTCACCAGGGCCCCTGATGGTGGGGATGGACTTGTAGTACCCCGAGACCAGGTCGCCTCTACTGAGCACACCTGTCAGTGGTAGGGGTGTTCGCCAGGGGTTCCAACCAGGGGAAGCCAGATGTGAGGAGGTCGGGTGAGCCCGATGGGATGGATGGATGGATGGCTGAGCAAGTGCGTAGTCAGACAGGCCGAGTCGGGTAAGGTAGAGGACGGTAAGGTACAAGGGAAGCAGGCAGAGAATCGTCGGGTCACACGCCAGGTCTCAGCAACAGTAGATGTCAGATCTAATAAGGGGCATCCAGGGAGAGAGGTCAGGCAAGCAGGGGTCTGGGCAGGAGAAATCAGCAAGGTCAAGAGCAATCCGGGTCAATAACCTGCTTACTAGGCACAGGTACAGGAACACAGGAAGCAGGTAAGACCAGAAGGCAACGAAATGACAGCTCAGGGACCTTTAAATATCCCGCCCTGCGCTGCAATTGGTGCCCAGCGGGCTACTGCCGCGGCTTCTACTGCGCATAGCGCTATGAGCTCGAACGCCGCGGCCGGCCCGGACCCTAGTGCCCGTGTACTAGGTGGAGCAGTGCGCCTGCGCCGGGACCATCGCGGCAGGGAACGAGGAGATCCCTGACAGGTGGGCTACAGTGAGCAGAAGGAAGGGATATAGAATCCTTTGTCCAAAGACCAACAAGGTCACAGTAAGCCGCAGTGTTTATTTTAATGAAAAGTGAAGCATCAGATAATACAATTCTTGAAAAATGTGGAGAGGATTTACACGCTGAATCGGCAAGAGACACTGACCTTCATGCGAAGCAGGACAAGAGCCAGAACAAGAAGTGGAACTTACAATCAACGAGCCAATAGAACCCACTGAACAACAAGAAATCAGAAGATCCTCACGAATGACAAAAGGGATACCACCCCGCAGGTTATCATACGCTGCTAAAACACATCAAAACACAGGAGCCAACATCTGGGAAGACATAGAAAACTTTGCCGAGAAGGGAAGCGATCAGTGGAGAAAAGCACGTGAAGAAGAAATAAAAATCACTTCAAGAAAATAAAACTTGGTCACTAACAGAACTCCCTCCTGGTCGCAAAACCATCGGAAGCAAATGGACTTTTAAAGTGAAATATGATACAGAAGGAATATCTACGTAGATACAAAGCAAGATTAGTTGCCAAGGGTTACTCCCAGAAATTTGGAGAAGATTACGATGAGACATTTGCTCCAGTTGTGAAACATTCTACCATAAGAACACTCCTTAGTATTGCTGCCGGAAAGGGAATGCAAGTAAAGCATCTAGATGTCAAAACTGCCTTTTTGTATGGAGACATCAAGGAGGATCTGTACATGGAACAGCCACCAGGATTTGAGAAAGAAAAGAACCTTGTATGCAAACTACAAAAGAGACTAAATGTCATATAATTATGCACATGCGTTGAGAAGGGGTGTTGGGAATGCAACAGCATGTACTATAATGTACTATATATAGTATTGTGTGTTAAATATCACTTGAACCAGTAGATGGCACGTGTACAGACTAAAGGTTGCTAGTTGTGTATATCTGAAAACTTGTTTGTTCCTCTCTCTATCATCTCTTCAGGAAAGTAATATATGTCTCTGCTGAGAAATGTGCTCTGTATGTTTGTAACTTAAGCCACACAAGTAAAAGTTACTGAATTCTGCTATCACTTAAGCCAGTGTCTTCTATAACACATAACCAACAGAGAAAGACTTCACCAGAGTGAATACAGAGGGTTCACCACAAGATGGAAACCATTGGTGAGCCTCAAAACCAGGAAGGCAGATTAGAGTTTGCCAAACGACATGTAAAAAAGCCTTCACAGTTCTGGAACAACATCCTATGGACAGATGAGGACCGACATCAACTTGTACCAGCTAGTGATGGGGAAGAGAAGAGGATGGAGAAGGAACTGCTCATGGTCCTAAGCATACCACCTCATCAGTGATCATTGGTGGTGGTTAGTGTGTCATGGCCCCCCGTGGGCATGTATGGCTGCCAATGGAACTGCTCTTCTGACTTGTATTTATTGATGGATGTGACTGGACTGACAGAAGCAGCCGAGGATGAATTGTGAAGAGTGTTTTTCGGGAAAATCTAGATCGGCTCATATTCATCCATGATGCCTTCTCACACTCATTGGAACCGCTTCACAGTGCAGAATGGACAATGACCCAAAGCAGACTGCAAAAAAGACACCAAAGAAGTGCGAAATGTTTGCAATGGCAGTCCATCTACCTGACCCTGAATCCGAAATTGAGAGCATTTTCACTTGCTGAAGGACAAAATGAAGGGAAAATGCCCCAAGAACAAGCGAGGAACTGAAGACAGTTTTGCAGTAGAGGCCTGGCATGAGCATCACCAGGGATATGAAACCCAGCGTCTGGTGATGTCCTATGCGTTCCACACTTCAGGCTGTACATTGACTGCAAAGGATTGGCATACCAAGTATTCAAAAGTGAAAAGTTTGGATTTTCTGATTATCATTCTTTCCCCATTACTTTTGGTCCCCTTAACCAGGAGTGGGAGGCACATATGCAAAAAACTGTTGTCATTCCTACACCGTTCACCTTGATTTGGATATAAATACCCTCAAATAAAAGCTGACAGTTGCGTTTAAAGCAAATCTTGTTCGTTTCATTTCAAATCCATTGTGGTCGGTGTATTATAGAGCCCAAAAAATGTTTAGAAATTGTGTCCATGTCCAATATTTATGGACTGACTTAACTTTCACATAAATCAATTAATTTACACGTATATTGGGATTTTTGTTTTTAGCAAAGACACGGAGCAGAATAATTTTGCCCAAATTTATGCCGAATATTTGATTTTTTTAATTTTTTTTACTGGACATGTTTAATAGCAAAAAGCAAAAATATAATATTTTTTTTTTTAAAATTTTTCGTCTTTTTTTTTTTTTTTTTTTATAGTGCAAAAAAAAAAAACCGCCCAGGCCCATCAAAATACCAAACCCAAAAAAGTTTAATTCGTTGGAAAAAAAGGACGGAAAATTTTAAATTTGGGTTTCAGCGTTACAGACCCCCGCAATTGTCAGTTAAAATAACGCCACCCCGTATCGCCAGAAAAAGCCCCCCCGGCAGGAAGGGGGGGGGGGGTTAATGCAAAAAAACCCCATAATTTTGTGACAAAACACATATAAAAGGGTTTTAAATTGGTTTTCCCTTTTTGTTTTAAACGGATTAAGATTGTGCAATCCCAAGCAATTTTGAAAAGCCAGGCTGGAGCTCTCTGGGTGCCGGTACCCCCCGGGGCCCTGGGTAAAGGGGGGTACCACCATCCTCCTGTAGGAGGGGGGGGGCCCCCCGGCCAGGGGTGGGGGGGGGGGGGTGGGGGACCGAGTGGGGGGCAGGAGGGTGATCGGCCCCCACCCGGGGGGCAATTACTGGAACGGAACCCCGTATGGGCTCTCCCCCCGCAGCAGCTGAAACCGGGGTTCTTCCCCTCTCCCTCCCGCTGGGGTTTCAGCTGCTGCAGAAGAGCCATAAAAAGGGGATCGGTTCCAATAATTGCTCCCCCCCCCGCGACCACAATCACACCGTCACTGTGCACCCTACCTTTTCCCCCCGCTGCCCAGGCCCCCCTGAGTGTCCCCACCCCATGCAGTGCGCCACCCGGGAATGGGATTTCCTTTAGGGGGGAAGTGGGGGAAGGGTCCGGGAAATATGTCCCCCATTTTCCCCCCCTTTCCCGAAAAACAAAGATTTATCAAATAACCCGATCACTTTACTGCGTTCATTCATAACCGAAGGGGTAGTAAAAATAATTTTCGGGGAAGGGGGGGGGGCCCTTCAGGTTGGCTGTAAGGGGCCCCGTGGTTCCAAAACCCCAGCCTTTCCGGTACCGCCTGGGGTTTAACTGTGGGGAAAACTCAGACCCTTTATTGCCCTTTTTTGTACTCCTATCTTTTTTGGGAGAGTCTTCCTTCCCCTTTAAACTTTTTCCCCCCTCCTGGATGAGG